AGAGAGAGAGAGAGAGAGAGAGAGAGAGAGAGAGAGAGAGAGAGAGAGAGAGAGAGAGAGAGAGGAGCAGGGAGGATGGGCTGGACAAGGTTTCGACACACCGTGAAGAGGGAAAGACACACAAAGAATTGGTAAATTGATAAACTGGTGCTTCTCAGCCAGCACCTGAGCAATAATCATCTGTTGCCAGTGTATCCTTGCATGTCAGGCAAGTCGCATCGTCTCAGATCAATAAATACTACAGCCCTATTCTCCGCAAAGAGCAAACATTATCGGTTGGCCGGAAAAGCACTACCCTTCTGAATAAGCTCTCAACTCCAGAGTCCAGACATTTATGGACTGAGGGCAACACATAAGCTCAGCTCGCTTGTTGCGGGCAGAAATCTGAGCGCCAAGTCCACGGCAAGTCCACGAAATGTATTTCCCACATGAAAGCTGGGCTTGAAAACCCTCTATAGCTGAGAACCCCTGTCACACGCGTCCATTCTTGTTCTCCAGCTTCAACGTATTCCTTGGGGATATGTGAGTCAGTCTGTAAATTGAGAGGGAGGTGTTCGTTAACGCATTCCTCCACATTAAGCCCCTCTTCTCCCACCTGTTCGTTAACGCATTCCATTTCAGGCTATAGATTGAGAAGCGTTCGTTAAACCACCAGTACTTCGCCCAGCTATGGGCCGCAGAAAGAAAAAAAAAGAGTGGAAACGTTTCTTGTTGGATGAATTTGGGCGCTCCTGTAGTGGCCCGTACATTTCCTAAAATTGTGGCTTGTTAACGGGCACAACTTTAGGAAGTACTGGTGGTTTAAAGCAAGCATTCCTGCACATCAGTTTGCTCTCCTCTCACAGCCATCCCACTTGCTTGCTCTCTCCCACATCTACTCCATCTCAGTCCATAGATTCAAAAGCGTTCGCTAACACATTCTTCCAGATCAAGTTGCTCCCCTCTACATGGCCATTCCATTTGCTCTACCGAACATACATCCGTGGTGGTGACCAAATCCATCTCTTGGTCAGAGAATTCTGAAGTAAATAAAGTTTAATAAACTTAACTTTACCTGCACTAAAAAAAAAAAGAAAATAGAAAGCTCTTGTCTTAATGTAGGGTGCTAGAGACTGTGAAGTTAGTGGCAACGGAAATTGAGAAAAACGATTGGCCAACCTCCTTCCACCGTCTCATCTGTCATTCTCTCAATTTCCCTATGCAATGATCCTAAGGGCATGTGATCAATTCATTCTGCATAAATATTAGGGGAAAAAAAAAAAAAAAAGATACTACATAAATATTGAGAAGGAGCGGGCCTTCTTCTGCATCCCTCTCCGCCACCCCCCCCCCACCCCCCCGCCCCCAACGGAATGTCTCATCAAGCAGCGAAAACAACCCTCTGCACAGTACCTTGGAAATAAAGTAACCCTCCATCTAGATTCAAACAGCAGCTCCCTCAAATAAATATCTAGCATCTACCTACATCTCGTTTCCAAAACAAGGGAAAGTAGTACTTGCCTGGAAAATGTGGTGACCACCTACCGGTAGTACATCAACTCGAAACCAAAGGGGAAAAAAAGGACTTGTGTGGAAACCATGCTTGAAGCAGTCGGCTTGGCATCTTCCAGAGCCACCAGGAAAGTTTGCAGCTTTCTTGTTTCGACTATCTACGACATAAAAAAGAGTTTTGTGTCCTATTTGACCACACTCGAGCACAAAAATGGAAAAGGACTTACCTGGCAAACATGCTGATCAACTGGGCATCTTATTCAGAGCCAGGTTGCAAGCCCGGGAAGCGGATATACGATCGTCGTTAACCTCTTCGTATCCGAAAGATATCGCTAGGATCCTTCGTTCGTCCCTTTCTTCTCCGAACTCGTCCCTCCGTACGGACACCAGGAAGGTCTAGATCGCCAGCGCCATGCCGACATCCGTGGAGTGGATGACACAGCCCTATCGCTTCGCTATTTCTGTGCCGCGGTCATCTCTGCCATCCGATTCAGGGAGGATCCAGCCTTGAACCATTCAATCTGGTTCGAATTGAACGAATGGTTGACGTGGAACTGATACGTCGTCCCGTCCTCCCGCTTTCCCAAAACCTGCATGGTCCGCATGGCGCAGCAAAGGTGAAACCATCAAAGGATGAATACATCGTGTGCAACATTGAGCATGCCAAATGGGCGGTATGAAATAAGTTGGAAATTTCAAGTGTTTAAGTGGGAGAACCCCAGCACACGTATGATGATGATATGAATGGATAACCCTCGAAGGAGGCAAGAAAAGCAGAGCAAAATGGAGAGGAGAAGAGAGGGAGGAAGGGAGGGAGGGAAGAAGATAGAGAGGAAGAGAGGAAGGTAGGGAAGGGAAGAAACGAGATCATGCGAGAAGAGAAAGGGGCGCCAAAATTTCCCTACCCCAAGTTCCCAACAGAAAAGCAAAAAGAAGAAGGCTACGTCGTTCTCTTTCTCGCGCTTGCTAAAGCAAGAGGATCGAGGGAAGAGAAGGCAGTGCACAACAGAAAGAGAGTCGAGAAATAAACAGACCAGAAAGGGAAGAGAAGGAAGAGAGGGAGGGAGAGAAGGCAGGAGGAAGCAACCAAGGTTAGGCTGATTTAACTTTCAGCTTAGCTCTAATTAATCTTCTCCTCGACAAAGAGGTTGTCTGGATGGAGAGTGCCCTCAGTATAAGCAGTCCTAGATTTTTCTTTTGCAATGGTCTCCAGTGCCTAGTCCTAATAATAATGGTCTAGTGACAAGACCGAAAAGGGAGGCAGGCAGATACACTGGTCGATTGAAACTGCAAGATTTCAGAGGGAGGAGTGGAGGAGATGGAAATTTACCGTAAGCTGTTTCCCTGGAGCAAAAGTTTTGAGGCCCAAAATTGATAGCTTGTCACGGGGATGGATCTTGTCGTAATCTGCTGCGTTCGCAAATGTTAAAGGAAGCATGCCCTGCACAAAATGACGGCATTGCAAATCAATCAGTTGCTGCCCTGCAATCGGACAAATGCGCTGGAAGAAATCCAGCGTGCCAGTTGCTGCATGCAAAACAAATCAGACAGGATCGACTGCATAACAAATTGGCTCCCATTTATCTGGCCACGGTGGCCTGACAGGTGAAGCTGCAAGTGGTGAGTCATCCTGCAGAACACGTAGCGATCGGGGAAGCAAAACGACCACAGCAAACCGAGCAGGATAATTGACAGCAAAACAGGCAGCAAAATGGCCAGCAAAAAAGGCAGCAGCAATACGGTGGCATGACAAAATTAAAGGAAGTATGCCCTGCACAAAATTAAGGCATTGCAAATCAATCAGTTGCTGCCCTGCAATCGGACAAATGAGCTGGAAGAAATCCAGCATGCCATATGCTGCATGCAAAACAAATCAGACAGGATCGACTGCATAACAAATTGGCTCCCATTTATCTCGACTTTCAGTTGGCTGCAAGACGAGCTGATCCATATCATGACTGTCGAGCCCATGGTGCAGAACACAGGTCAGCAGGATATAGGCCAGCCAATGACCAAGCCAACCTCAACATACTCTGAATCTCGCCATGAAGGGCATGCTAATGATAATTGTTCTCCCTAGTTACGGAAAACGGAATGAACTGGGTTTCTAGCACGTTAACCATAACACCAGAAACTTTAGGTAGTTGGTTAGGTAAAGGCTGACCAAGCCGATGATGCTTAGCTGGTCTTTTCGGATGATCAGCCACACTGGGACTGAGACATGGCCCGCTGTGGAACGAGGACATGCACCTGTTTCAATTTGATTGCGAGTAACATGTACAAGTAAGGAAGCCAAAGAGCCAGCAAGTGGTGAGTCATCCTGCAGAACATGTAGCGATCGGGGAAGCAAAACGGCCACAGCAAACCGAGCAGGATAATCGACAGCAAAACAGGCAGCAAAATGGCCAGCAAAAAAAGCAGCAGCAATACGGGCAGCATACACGTATACTGGAGGGTAGAACACTGTTTCCCCAACAGGATGATGTACTAAAATTGATAAGATGAACGACAACAAGAACAGGCCTCTGCACACACAATTTATGATGAAGCATGGTGTTGTGCCTTGAAGCCCACCTGTTTCTTGAGGTTAGTTTCATGAATGCGGGCAAAACTCTTCACAATCACTGCAACTCCGCCCAGATGCCTCGGTTCCAGAGCTGCATGTTCTCTGCTGCTTCCCTCTCCGTAGTTCTCGTCACCAATCACAACCCAAGGAATCTTCGACGCCTGATTCGCAAAGCAAAGCAAGGCAGAGAAAGATCCAGCAAGAGATCGTAAAAGTAAGATCCAGCAAGAGAGCTGTACACGTGAGTTTCATCACATCATGGAGCCACACATTTAGAATGGTCCTGTTGACGATTCAACCTACCCACTACAGAACTTCAATCAACCATGCACCTCTTCTCGCACAAGCACGCATTTTGTTTGGAATCGTAGCTATAGCCCCTCCAGTAGTACGGGGGGAAAAGTTTGCCGTATGATTGTTGTCCAGACTGACGTGTGAGAGAAAGAAAAAACGAAACCGAAAAGACTGTGGACCTTCGGTGAAGTAGGAGCCCTTCGTGTGTTGGATTGTTGGGCGTGGAGGATTCTTTTCTCATGATTTCTGCTCTTACGTTTTCTCTGTGTGTGGACTATCTGCTTGTATGGACGATCTTCTCATCGTGTGATTTCGTCACTATCCTGAATTGTTTCATTCATATCCTAGGAGACCATCCACACACCACAGGAAACGACTGTGAATCA